TTTACTAACAGTTATAGGGGCCTTATTTCATTGGGTTGAATTTGGTTAAGCTTCCCAAATCCCAACCCTAACCAGTGAATCAAGTTGGGCCTCAGGCCCTAGTAAAAAATGTCAGGGAACTAAGGCCCAGTCCATCTTCTCTGGATTTCATCTGTAGTTTGCTTTGATTATTGCATGGTGAAATTTTAGAACAAAAAATGCAAAAATCTTCTCCATCACAGCTGCACGCCTGCACTGTAGTATTTGTTTAGTTTACGGGCTAAAAAGGCATAAAAACATGAAGATGATTGTATATTTACGAAGTAATCTTTCCCGATTGATTGGTTATTGAGAAGAAAGTAATTCTACAATATAATCATAAGTGGCTTGAGAAAGATATAATGAATTAATAAAATATAATAACATTAAATTGGGTTCTTTTCTTTTCTCATGTCAAATTTTGATTAACTTGTTATATATTTGTCGTTGTATTGTATAACTGTTGTCTGAAGAACACTGCTGGTTCAACAGACCCGGTGCAAAACTTGTAACAGAAAACTCAACAATAATTCAGGAAAAAGGGAAAGAGAAGTTGTAGATAATTTCCCAGCAGAGAGATACAGGAAGTGACGGCCAAAAAAAGAAAAAGGGAAAACAGGAAGAATTAGGTATTGACAGGAATAGACAGGGAAAAAAAATTCTTGTCTTTTTTCTCTATCTTTACGAAAGACGATGATGAATATGATGCAAATTTTGAAATTAAAATTTAAAATTATTGATTTCAACAAATGTTAGATTATTTAAAATATTAAAAAATAAATTTTATATTATTTAATAATAAAATTTTTTTAATTTTAAAATTTATAATGTAATATAAATAAGATTATTTAAAATATTAAAAAATAAATTTTATATTATTTAATAATAAAATTTTTTTAATTTTAAAATTTTTATTTAATAATTATTTAAATTAAAATTAATATTTTTTTTAAAAAAAAATAATACAAAATTTATGTGGATGTAATAAGCAGTGATATAAAAATAATTTTTTTA